CTTCTAAGGCAAAGGGAAGGCGGCCACAGGAGCGCCTGAAGCCAAGTATACCAACAACAAAAGGCAAATCCTCAAGGTAGGCTGGAGGGAGAGCGTCACTGCCGACCCCTTTTCTCTAGCCGATTCTGACTGAATCTCTATCCCGCTCCTTTATCCTCACGACGGGGTCGGCAGTGACGCTCTCTGGTGCGGCCACCTCAGCTTGCCAGCCTTGCCCCGCTATGAGACGATACTGTGACAGCCGCTGCTGCCGCACTCCCTTCTCTTTCCTCGCCTCTCCTCCCTTCGCCGGCAGGAGTGTGCGCGCCTGCTGCCACTGCCGCCGCTCCTGAGGCCATCTGGGGCGGGCAGGTGGGAAAGCAAGCAAGGTGGCTGCGCTGTCTTCTTTTTCCCTCAGCGAAGCGCCGCCGCTTGCCGCCACCACCGCCACCTGCGATGGGTGAGGAGGCGGCGGAGGCACCCGAAATGTCACCAAGGCAACGAGTGCCTCCCCGCCCGGCCCTCCGCTCATCCCGCCAGGGCCGTGGCAGAGCCGCGCGCGCTGGGGAGAACCAGGAAACACCCGCGGCTTGCCTGCCACGGCCCTGGAGGCACTTCCTGTCAGCCTCGGCTAGAGAAAAGAGCCAGCCTCTCGGAGCACGCCGGCGTCTTTCCCTCTCTCTCTATGTATGAAAGAGCTCACCTCGCTCGGAGCGTTTGGCGAAGCACACGAGTTTTGCAGTCGGAGAGGGAGGAGGCGGCGGCGAAAAGGACGCGGCGGCAACGGCAGGATGCTGCAAGTCAGGACCTTGCATTGAAGCAGCCCGGGGGGCACGTAGCCACCTCCCTCCAGCCCACCTTGAGGATTTGCCTTTTGTTGTTGGTATACTTGGCTTCAGGCGCTCCTGTGGCCGCCCTCCCTTTGCCTTAGAAGGTAAAGTGAATTATTTTAAAAACCTCCGCTCATCCCGCCAGGGCCGCGGCAGAGCCGTACGGGCTGGGCAGAACCAGGAAACACCCGCGGCTTGCTTTCCCGGCTCTGCTCAGCTCGCACGGCCCTGATAGGATGAGCGGAGGTTTTTAAAATAATTCACTTTACCATCGAAGGCAAAGGGAAGGCGGCCACAGGAGCGCCTGAAGCCAAATGTCTCCTCAGGGCTCCGGTTGCAGGGAGGAGCCCTGACTGGCTGCACGTGGCTGCGCCAAACGCCGCGGCGTTGCTGTAACGCTACGGCAGCAAGGGAGAAGGGAAATTAACGGTGGCGGAAAGTCTCCCGAACATCCAAGCTGTCGCCGCCCGCCCACCCGAGGATGCAAGGGGGGGGGGAAATTAAGTCACCCCCGAAAAGACGTCCTAGCCGTTTTTTCGGGGGTCAAAAAAAAATAAGGCCCGGCCTTATTATGTGAGAAACACGGTAAGACCAAATGCAAAGCGGGTTTTGGAAGCCTGCACACCTGATTGGACCTTAAACAACGAACAAGGATTGGTCCATAACAAGTCCCTGATTGGCCAATATTAGGACACTTCTTATTGGGTATTAGTTGAACTTGTTGCACATATTATTGGTTAATAGGGTAGCAGCCAACCCTATAAAAGGGTTACTGCTTCCCATAGCCTTGCTCTGTTCTGTTCTATCTACTGTTATTAAAGAGTTTGAAGTCACTGGTCAGATGTCGGGTCTCCATTATTCTCCAAACTTAATACTGGCGACGAGGATGGGATGCGGAGACCGAAGAGCTGACTGATCGACAGAGCAACCAACAGAGCACGTGGTCGAACACGCACTATCAACAGCAACATGGCCAGCGGTGCCGTACCACCCGCTCCACTCGACCCAGAAACCGAAGACTGGGAGTCGTACATGGATAGGTTCCAGATGTTTCTGGAGACCAACAACTTGAAAGATGCAACAGCCAGCAAAAAAAGAGCTGTATTTCTAACCCACTGTGGGCCTACCGTGTTTAAAATGGCAAAATCACTTGCCAAGCCAGCCGAAGTAAACGCGATGGACTGGGACGTCCTCGAGCCTTTGCTATGGGCCCACTACGCGCCCACCGTGCCAACCTTAGTCAGAAGGCAAGCATTTTACCAGAGGGTCCAGCGGAAAGGAGAAAGCCTTGCCAACTATGTCGCAGATCTCCGAAACCTTGGAGGCCTCTGCGGATTCTCTAACTTAGAAGAAGCCCTCCGAGACCGCCTAGTTCTGGGCCTAGAAGACTGCACGATCCAGAGCAAAATCATGGCTAAGGGGGACATCAGCCTCACCGATGCCCTTAAAGAAGCCACTGCGGCAGAATCAACCAAGAAGTCGGCAGCCCGAATACGCCGCACCAGCGCACCGCTACGTCAACTCGCCAATGATACCTCGCCTCGCTCAGAGAGACACCCGGTATCGACTCACCACGAAGACCTAGAATCCCCGTCAGAAAGTGATGAGGAAGAGGTCAACCGACTCCGAACTGAACGAGACCAGTTCACACAACGCTCACTTCGACCTTGTGCAGGATGTGGAGCGAATCACCCATGATCCAGCTGCAAATTCCTCGACGCACTCTGCCGCGTTTGCGGGAAAAGAGGTCACATCGCAAAGGTTTGCAGAAGCAAACAAAACTCCAACTCCAAACCCCGACAGGCCGAATGCCAGTCTTCAGGATTCATCGGCACACCCCGAGACAAACTGAATCACCAATGGGGAAGCCACTCCTACAGAAACAAACCGTCCACCACTTCCACCAGGCGGGAAGAAACCAGGCGGGAAGAGACCCACCAGACAATTACCATAGGCCACGCTACATCCCTAGATGCCGGGAAAATCAGAGTGAAGGTCGCTATCGAAAACAAACCTTGTGTGATGGAGGTGGACTCAGGATCATCCCTCTCGATGGTGTCCTGGAAGACGCTCCAACAGCTCGTTCTGACGATTCGCCGCCAAGACCTCAACCCTCAAAGGGTTATACTCAAAGATTACCAGGGTAACCGAATTCCCGTTGTCGGGTCCCGCCGATTCCAGGTCTCTTTCAAGGACCGCACCGTCGCACTGCCACTGACTGTCGTTGACCGTGACCGGCCTAGTCTTTTAGGCCTGCAATGGTTCAGACCGCTCGGAATCACTGTAGCCGGAGTCCACCGTGCCGAGAGCAACGATTGGGAGGAAGCCCTCGTGCAAGAATTCCAAGACGTTTTCGCGAACGGACTAGACAAGTACAAGGGGACCCCGATCTCATTTAACTTGAACCCTGAGGTAGCACCCATCCGCCTTAAGCCACGTCGGGTGCCGTTCGCCCTGAAACCTAAAATCGACAAACAACTCGATAAGCTAATAGCACAGGGCGTGCTGGAACCCACCGACCATGCCCGGTGGGAAACCCCAATAGTGACGCCTATCAAGCCTGATGGGTCACTGAGAATTTGTGGAGACTACCGGGCCACCCTAAACCACGCACTTCAGCAAAGTGCATATCCAGTGCCGGTAGTGCAACACCTGCTCCATTCCCTGGGCGGCGGGAAAGTTTTCGCTAAATTAGACCTAGCGCAGGCGTATCAACAATTGCCTGTAGACCCGGCCACCGCGGAGGCGCAAACTATCGTCACGCATAGGGGCGTATTTAAATGCAACCGGCTCCAGTTTGGGGTGAGCGTCGCTCCAGGAATCTTTCAGAGCTTAATGGAAAGGCTGTTACAAGGAATATGAGGGGTCGTACCATATTTCGACGATGTACTCATCGCCGCCCCTAATAGAGACATTCTAGAAAAATGACTCCGAATGGTCTTACAAAGGTTCCAAGACGCCGGCCTCAAAGTCAAAAAAAATAAATGCCAGTTATGTACCGAAAGGGTGGAGTTTTTGGGATACCTCCTGGACAGTCAAGGAATCCATCCCACTGAGGACAAATTAAAGGCAATTAAGAAGGCCCCCACTCCAAGGAACAAGGCAGATCTACAGGCGTTCCTTGGACTTATCAATTTTTATAACGTCTTTTTACCCAATAAAGCAATGGTAGCTGAACCATTACATCGACTCTTAGACAAAAAAGCAACATGGGTTTGGGGACAACGTGAACAATACGCTTTCCAACAAGTAAAGAAATTGCTAACTTCTGATTCTGTACTTATGCAGTACAACGAGACTCTGCCGTTAACTATTACTTGTGACGCCTCACCTTTTGGGGTTGGAGCAATCCTGGCCCACGTATTACCGAACGGAGCAGAAGCTCCCGTCGTGTTTTTTTCGCGAACTTTAGCTAAAGCTGAAAGAAATTATAGTCAGCTAGATAAAGAAGCTTTAGCTATTGTGGCTGCAGTTAAACGATTTCATGAATATGTGTATGGGCGTACGTTTACAATAATTACTGATCATAAACCACTACTGGGGATTATTGCGGGTAATAAACCAACCCCGTATATATTGTCCCCCAGAATGACCCGCTGGTCTGAATTCTTGGCGGCGTACAACTACACCTTGCAACACCGCCCGGGGAAATCAATTCTCCACGCTGATGCATTGAGCAGAACACCACTCCCAGAATCGGTTGAAGATCCAGCCCCAACCATCACAACGCTGCAAATTGAGGCTCTACACGCGCCGCCATTGACGGCGAGAGACATTGCCCTCGAAACAAAACGAGATCCGGTCCTGAAACACATCCTACGCTGGGTTGAACGTGGTTGGCCAACAGAACAACTATCACCTGAATGGGCGCCTTTCAAAGCCCGCCAAACCGAACTGTTTTCCCAAAAGGGCTGCATCTTGTGGGGCGATAGAGTCGTAATTCCGGGCAAACTGCAACGAACTGTTTTAGCGGTATTGCACGACAGACATCCGGGCATCGTGCGGATGAAAGCACTCGCACGGAGCTATGCCTGGTGGCCGGGAATCGACAAAAGAATCGAGGCCTGGGTCGCTACTTGTCAACGTTGCCAGGACGTCAGCAACGCCCCACCTAAAGCAAGCCCAACCGAATGGGAAACTCCGAGGGGACCATGGTCCCGTATTCATATTGACTTTGCGGGGCCTACAAAAGGGCACACTTTCCTTATTACAGTCGACACCTATTCAAATTGGCTCAAGATCCATCGAATGAACACAACTACAACGGACTCAGTTATCAACAAATTAAACAGGCTATTTGCCACACATGGTTTTCCGGACGTTCTGGTCTCGGATAACGGCCCACAGTTCACAGCATTACCATTTGAACAATATCTTGCTGACCGGGGCATCCGCCATGCGCTAACCTCGGCCGTACACCCTGCGGCGAACGGACGTGCAGAACGCATGGTACAGTTTGTAAAAAAGACCCTCCACAAAATGGAATTCGGCGACATCGATGAAAAAATCAATCGAATTTTATTGTTGCAGCACATCACGCCCCACAGCATTACCAACAAAACGCCCGCCGAACTTCTCATGGGGCGGAAACTATGATCGCACCTTGACCGGCTCCACCCCACATACGCACCCGAAAAGCCTTTCGGCTCCAGCAGCAAATGCCGGGAATTTAAGGTAGGCGATTTAATCTTTGCCAAAAACTTCTCCGGCGACCCTTTATGGATACCCGCAACCGTCCCCCAACTCACAGGGCCTAGATCTTACCGCCTGCTAACAGACGATGGGAGGGTGTGGAAAGGCCACATAGACCAACTCCGTTCGAGATTACCACCCAGCGCCCATGGCTCCCCGGGTTCACCAACTGAGGGGGGAGGAAATATCGAGGAAATTGACTTCGATATGACAGATAGCAGGCCAACGGAAACCCTACGGCCCAGCGAAGTACCGGGAATTGAAGCAGGGAGGGAGTTGACTTTCCCATGGGACGTGAACACAGGGGAAACCGAACTGCGAAACCCCGAAGAAACACTGATTGGCGGGGACAACCACAACGAAAGCAGCACGGAATTTCCGTGCAGCGAAACGGAGCTTAACAGAGATCATCCTAACGCTCCACCGGAACCGGACTTTAGGCCAAACCCAGTGGAACCACGGAAATCATCCAGACAGACCAAAAGGCCTGTCTACCTTGAGGATTTTGTTACAGCTCCCCTCAAACGGAGCCCAAGGGGGAGGGGTGTTGTGAATCAATAAAAAGTAACTAAGACCAAATGCAAAGCGGGTTTTGGAAGCCTGCACACCTGATTGGACCTTAAACAACGAACAAGGATTGGTCCATAACAAGTCCCTGATTGGCCAATATTAGGACACTTCTTATTGGCTATTAGTTGAACTTGTTGCACATATTATTGGTTAATAGGGTAGCAGCCAACCCTATAAAAGGGTTACTGCTGCCCATAGCCTTGCTCTGTTCTGTTCTATCTACTGTTATTAAAGAGTTTGAAGTCACTGGTCAGATGTCGGGTCTCCATTATTCTCCAAACTTAACAGTAATCAGACTGGCTAAAATGATAAGCGCCAGCATCCATCATTAAGATTTCCGCCAAATTATATTTATCAGTTTATTTCTTTATCAAGTTTATATACCACCCATCTTACTTAAGTGACTCTAGTATTAACAAGCAAAAGCAATAGAGACATTGCTAAAAATGACATTAAAAACAGAGTTTAAAAGTTAAAATGTTAAAAATTACAAAAAAATTTAAAGGGCTGAGAGCACACTCTCAGGTCATCCACCACTCCCTAGAGTTGCATGCTACTCTGAATTTCTCTCAGTTTCGTGTATCTTCCTAGAAAATATTCTAAGTGGATGAAGCTCAGTGCTTCGGTTGGAAATCCCCTCCCCCGCATCTGTCCTGGGAAAATAAATAATTGCATAGGCAATTGGTAGTGTAGAACCTGTAATGGAAAGCTGGAAAGAGTTGCAGGGGGCATTGTAGTAAGTCTTTTTTTCTACAAATGGATGCTGAATTAATTTCCATGTGCATCATGGCAGCCATTTTGTGACCTGGCAAACTGCTTGAGACAACCATTTTGTGAGAGCACCCATAGGCTGAGAAGTGGTACCTGGCCTGGCATTTGCTTCTGAATTTCACACCTCACCATAATGGTAAGGTGATTAGAACCAAGCCTCAGCACTGCCCCACATGGAGCATCTTTTGTTAAGCCTATGGTTTGTCTTTCTTTCTTTCTTTCTTTCTTTCTTTCTTTCTTTCTTTCTTTCTTTCTTTCTTTCTTTCTTTCTTTCTTTCTTTCTTTCTTTCTTTCTTTCTTTCTTTCTTTC